TTGGCTTCTCAGTCAGCGCTCATTGTTAGCCACATTCAGAGAGTCCGGTTTGATCACATGCTCCATCAGTCCCAGTCCAGCTTGCCTTGGTGAGCTCTCATTATATCAGTCCCATCATCTCAGTGGGTGGACACACCCCTCGCGATCCTGACTTCATTGTCCATGTTCTCCCTCCTTCTGCTCCTCCTGGATCTTGGGAGCTAAGTCCAGTGCTCCAATGTGGGTCTCTGTCTCTGTCTTGATCCATCGCCAGATGAAGGTTCTATGATGATATGCAAGATATTCAGCAGTGTGGCTATAGGACAAGGCCAGTTCAGGCACCCTCTCCTCTTCTTCCCAAGGAACATTCTGGGGACCTCTCCTTAGACCTAGGAACCCCTCTAGAGTCAAGTCTCTTGCCAACCCTAAAATGGCTTCCTTAATTAAGATATGTACTTCCCTGTTCCCATATCTACCCTTCCTCCATCCCAGAAATCCCATTACCCCAAGCTCTCCCCAGTCTTCCCCTTCTCCCTTCTTTCTTTAGCTCTCCCCATGTACCTAACTTTTGTCTCACAATCTTGTCTACTTCCATAATCCAGGAGGATTTTCTTTGGGTTCACCTTCTTAGTTAGCTTCTCTATGATCATGAATTATTGGCTCAATGTCCTTTACTTATGGCTAGAATCCACTTATGAGTGAGTACATACCATACCAGAAAATGGAAGGATCTCCCATGATTTTGGATTGGGAGGATCAACATAGGAAAAATGGCAATTCTACCAAAAGCAATCCATAGATTCAGTGCAATCCCCATCAAAATCCCAACAAAATTCTTCACAGACCTTGAGAGAATAATAATCAAATTTATATGGCGAAATAAAAAACCCAGGCTAACCAAAACAATCCTATACAATAAAAGTACTTCTGGAGGCATTACCATACTTGACTTCAAACTCTATTACAGAGCTAAAGTAGTGAAAACTGCTGGGTATTGGCACAAAACCAGAAATGTTGACCAATGGAATCTAATCGAAGACCCAAATATTAATCCACAAACCTATGAACACCTGATTTTCGACAAAGGAGCTAAAATTATACAATGGAGGAAAGAAAACATTTTTAACAAATGATGCTGGCATAACTGGATGTCAACCTGTAAAAGAATAAGAATAGATCCATATCTATCACCATGCTCAAAACTCAAGTCCAAATGGATTAAAGACCTCAATATTAATCTGACCACACTGAACCTGATAGAAGAGAAAGTGGGAAGTAGTCTACAAGACATGGACTCAGGAGACCACTTCCTATGTAGAACCCCAGTAGCACAAACAATAAGAGCAACAATGAATAAATGGGACCTCCTGAAACTGAGAAGCTTCTGTAAAGCAAAGGACACTGTCAGTAAGAAAAAAGGCAACCTACTGATTTAGAGAAGATCTTCACCAACCCTGCATCAGACAAAAGTCTGATCTCCAAAATATACAGAGAACTCAACAAACTAGACATTAAAACTCTAATTAACCCAATTAAAAATGGGGTACTGAACTGAACAGACAATTCTCAATAGAAGAAGTTCAAATGGCCAAAAGACACTTAAGGTCATGCTCAACCTCCTAAGCAATCAGGGAAATGCAAATCAAAACAACTCTGAGATACCATCTTACACCTGTCAGAATAGCTAAAATCAAAAACACCTATAGCCAATACTGGAGAGGATGTGGAGTAAGGGGAACAGTCATCCATTGTTGGTGGGAATGCAAACTTGTGCAGCCACTTTGGAAATCACTGTGGCGGTTACTCAGGAAATTAGGAGTCGACCTACCTCAGAACCCAGCAATTCCACTCTTGGGAATTTACCCAAGAGATACCCAATCATACTACAAAAGTATTTGTTCAACTATGTTCATAACAGCACTATTTGTAGTAGCCAGAACATGGAAACAACCTACATGCCCCTCAATAGAGGAATGGATAAAGAAGGTGTGGAACATATACACATTAGAGTTTTACTCAGTGGTGAAAAACAATGACATCTTGAGTTTTGCATGCAAATGGATGGAAATAGAAAACACTTTACTGAGTGAGATAACCAAGACCCAAAAAGAGGAATATGGTATGTAATCACTCATAAGTGGATTCTAGCCTTAATTAAAGGTCTTTGAGCCTATAATTCGTGATCCTAGAGAAGCTAAATAAGAAGGTGAACCTGACGAAAATCATATAGTTATCCTCCTGGATATTGGAAGTAAACAAGATTGTCAGGCAAACTTGTGTGCACCGGGGGTGGAGGGGTGGAAGTAAGGGGAGAGGGCTAGGGAGAAGGGAGAAAGGGAGGATTGGAGATAGCTTGGGGGACTGGGATGGGGGGAAGAGAGGAAGGATGGTTATGGGAGCAGGGAGGTATATATCTCAACTAAGGGAGCCATTTTAGAGTTTGCCTGAGACTTAATTCTGAAGGGGTTCCCAGGCCCAAGGAGAGGTCCTCAGATTGTTCCCTGGGCAGCAGAGGAGAGGGTGCCTGAACTGGCCTTGGGCCATAACCATACTGATGAAAATCTTTCATATCACCATAGAACCTTCATCTGGCGATGGATGGAGATAGAGACAGAGACCCACATTGGAACACTGGACTTAACTCCCTAGGTCCAAATGAGAAGCAGATGGAGGGAGAATGTGATCAAGGAAGGCAGGAACAGAGGGAACCCTCATCCGACGATAGATGGAGATAGAGACAGAGACCCACATTGGAGCACTGGACTGAGCCCCCACGGTCGAAATGAGGAGCAGAAGGAGGAGAACATGAAAAAGGAAGTCAGGACCGCGAGGGGTGCGTTCACCCACTGATACATGGGGACCGTTCTAATGAGAGCTCACCTAGGCCTGCTGGACTGACACTGAACGAAGATATAATCAAACTGGATTCTCTTAATGTGGCTGACATGGTGGCTGACTGAGAAACCATTGACAGTGGCACTGGGTCTTGTTTCATCTGCATGTATTGGCTTTTTGGGATCCTGGTCTATTTGTATGCTTACCTTCCTAGATCTGGAGGGAGAGGGGAGGAACTTGAACTTCCCACAGGGCAGGAAACCCTGACTGCTCTTAGGACTGGAGAGGGAGGAGGAGAGGGAGTGGGGGGAATGGGAGGGTATTGGGAGGAGAGGAGAAAGTGGAATTTTTTATAAATAAATAAATAAGTAAATTAAAAAAAAATTCAGCACTAGGGCTCGAGAAGTGACTCAGCAATTAAGAGCACTGACTGTTCTTCCAGAGGACCCTGGTTCAATTCCCAGCACCCACATGGCAGCTCTGAGAATCCAGTTCCAGGGATTCTGACAGCTTCACACCAATGCACATAAAATAAAGACAAATATATCATAAAAATTTTTTTTAAAAATTCAACACTATTATCACAGACATATTAAAAATAATCTTAAAGTTCTTATGGAAGCCTAAGAGATCACAGATACCTAAAAGAGTTCTAAGGAATAAGAAATAATAATGCTAAAAGAATCGCACAACTGATTTGAAGTTGTAATGCGTAACTATAGTGATAAAACTTTCATTACACAAGATCAGAGACAACCACATGAATAAATGGAGTAAAATAGAGGGTCCACATAAAAGCCAACAAAGACGAATAATGGTCATTGGAGTTGTTTTTGGTTTCCCACTAGAACTAAACAGTAAGCCCTTATTACTTAGGATAGTTTGGAGACAGGACCTAGAGAAATTAAACAATAACTGGATGGGATATTTCCTTCTAGGTTGATAGTTTTCTTAGTGTAGAAAGATTCTGTGCAGACTTTGATGACTATAATTCATCAGAGGACATATCTATCTATAAATTCTGTCAGCTAGAAAACCAACAGGCCAGGAAAGATGTACCCACTAGTATAGTGGTAGTATAATTGATATAGAGATAATCAAATCCATAATGACTGGATTGCAGACTCACTTCACAAGAGGAACTCTTACATGGTATGCTAAACTTAACCAAAAGCTTATACTTCAGTGTGTCAATGAACTTTGGATAAAAACTACTATGGCTGTTTAACTAAGCAGACATCATGGTGTCTATTTATTTTTTACACGGTTATGTTCACCCATTGATTTGTATTGTTCTCACCTTTGGTCAGTGAAGTTTTCTTTTCTGTGGGTGACAGACAAAGCAGAAACTCATACTGGTCAATTGATAACATTAAGAGACTGCTAAGCACTCATCCAGGAAGGGGTCATCTATAAACCCCATTCAAAGATCAGGGAATATCATAGAAGAGGTGGTGGAAAGAAAACAAAAGAACAGGATTGAAGGGAGTGTTGTGAGATGATATCATTGGTACATGAAAGAACTATTCCTTTCATAAACTCAGCGAGTATTGACTAACTACACAAGTTCTGCTTGATACTTGTCACACAAAGATTCCACTATGGATTGGATTCATACCTTCCTGGGAACTATAAGCAATTAACATCTTTTAACACAGGGTAGATTAGATTTCTTGGTGTTTTATACACTAGCCAGTCAGGTTTGTTAAAGTAATAATGTTCAAGTAATAACTTTCTACCCATGTTCATGAAGGCAACCTTTCCTAAGAGCAGCCGGTCAAAAAAAAAAAGATATAAAAAAATGGGGAAGAGAATGTTTGTTGTGAAGAAGGAAGGACCTAGTGAAAAATGGGAGTGAAAATAGAAGACAAGGAAGAAAATAAGATAAAAGTAATTAGGAAAATATATTTAGTAAAGAAGCAAAATTAGGGTACTATGAAACAAATGGTACTTGAGATAAAACAATGTATTTGTCAACATATTTTCAGAGATATGACACTGCCATTGACAAATAATTTAAAGAGAATCTTCTTAAACATATTAAAATCCATATATGTAAATTTCAAAAATTACATTGATTACAATAAGCATTTTTTTAACAATTCAAATTCCTTTGTGTTACAGAGTTTATATGTGTGAATGAAGTATAAAAGTTAAACTGTGTAAAAGAAAAGAAATACAAATGATTGATGCTCTCAGTATAAGTTTATTTTAAATTTTATAGTTTTGATTCAACATGGATTGCAATAAATGGGTCTTCAGCAGAGTTACTAATAGAAAATTGTGCAGTGCCATCACCAGAAACATAGACTTTAATTCCGGTGCAATTGCCATCAATTTTATCTCCAGAAATGACATCACAGTACGTGCCAGCAGGAAGACCAGTTTGTAAAGTTGTTGACAAAGACCTGAAAAGGAAATAGAGTCAAATTCAAATAGACACATTCAAGAAAGCAGACTATCTTCAAATTGAGTAACTTTCTAAACTTTGTGGTGTGTAAATATAAGTTTTAATTTGCTAGCCATAAAGTTAGATAGATTGAGATAGATATATGATAGATAGATAGGTGATAGACAGATAGATAGATAGATAGATAGATAGATAGATAGATAGATAGATAGATAGATA